CACTAGGTTTATATCTGGGACTCTCCACCATTTGACCTTAGAACTGAAGAAGCTTCTCGGATGAGAGGTGAAACGTCTTCAAGTAACTTAAAGAAGTCCAGACACTTTTCTTTGCAAGCTCCTTTGACTATCTTCAGTTTTGTATTTTGCTGCCGACTGTATTAAGGCTCATTAAAATGATCTATTATAAATTTTTATCTTTATTTTTCAGGCTCATTCTCCTTGAAGTGTCCAAAAACCATGGAAGCAGAAATCGGTGACACAGTGATTCTGCCGTGTTCCACTGATCCTCAAACCAATGTCATTAGAGTGGAGTGGATGGTAAATGTGACAACTGAGGTCCATGTGTGCAGAAAAGATAAAGATGAGCTTGCTCACCAAGCAAGCATCTATGAAGGAAAAACATCTGTTTTTAAACAGCAACTACCAAAAGGGAACTGTTCACTGCAACTGGTGGTTTCTCAGTCTCATTTCGGGACATACAAGTGCTCTGTACTTACATCAAAGAAAACAGAAGACAGTTGTGTTATAAATCTCACTGGTAAGTACACTGAGGCTAGTGGCATTCAATATCATAAGCTATTTTAATCAAAATAACATAATATATATTAACCCCCAAGTTTAAATAACAGCAGATAAATTTATATTCATATATGGTATTTTTCCAATCATATTCATCCTGATTAGGGTTATTCTTCAAATGAGTAGAGAGGAACATCAGAAAGAGGATTTTGTAGTTCACAGTCAAAAGTTTCAGGAAGCACCACGAGATTAACTGTGGATTTATGAATTGGAATTATAATATTTGTCTTTTCTCTACTTGTTTTTAGTAGTGTTAGATTACAGTCTTAAAGCAGGTCTAGGACTTTGTACTGAATCAGTGTGTCCCCATTCCGACACTGGCACTGACAGGAGAGGAGTGAGCTCAGGCTTGAGCATACCCCTTGTCGTTTTCTCATTTATCTCAAGAATGTGTCTTAAATAATAGCTACCTTACAGTAGATCATTGGTTCTCAAAGTGTGTGGTGAGTTCTGACAGAAGAGTCTTGTCGAACTAATGTTTAACATCGGAATCACTTTTACAGTGGAACAAAGAAATTCACGGCAGTTACATTAAAAATATGCGCATCCGCTGCATCCGCAGAAAAGCATGTGTAACTCCACAATAAAGAAGTGGACTAAAAAGTGGAAAATGTGGTTGGGTCTGTCGTCCATCGACTACAGTGGTGCTGAAATCCAGGATACGGTACGAGAGACCGAACCACATGTTCGCACTATATTGCGGCTGTCGACTTACACACTCTGAAATGCCAGGACTGACATAATGAATTAATTAAATATACCATTAAATAATTATTGAAATCTGGCAAAAATTAATTAAATATTTATGACACCTTTAATTAATTAATTATTGTATTTAATTAATTCACTTTGGCAGGCCTGACTCCTTAAGCTCGCATCGTCTGCTGGTAAAGTCTTGGCAACGAGCGCCTCACGGTGCAGAAAACAGTGCGTAACAATAACATCTGGGTGTATCACCTTCACTCTGCTAACGAAACCTTTGGTGCGCCAGACAATGGCTGCTGTTCCATCAGTGCAGACACTCGGGCAGTTTTCCTCCTTGTTCAAGATATTCGGATGTAACCGGAAAAATTTCCTCTCCCGTTGTTTTTTCTGGCAGTTCCTTACAAAATGGAAAGTTTTCTCTGATGGAGCCTCCATCCACAAAATGCACTTTGGCCAAGACTTAGGAATGTGCACTAATGTCCGTAGACTCATCAAGTTGCACTACAAACTTCCCACTATCTTCTCCAAAACCACACTTCCGATGTCTGCAGACATGTCATCAATACTTCTGGCAATTGTGTCATCTGAGAGCGGGACTTTGGCTATTTCTTTATCTGCATCAGGGCCGAGAATCTCGTTCACAATGGCTTTGCAGGCAGGTAGTATTAAAGTCTCTGCTACGGTGTGTGTGTTTTTTTTATTTGTCTATAAGTTCAGCCACTAAGTAGCTAGCTTTGAGAGCTCTTTCAGACACCTTTGGGTTTTTTCTCATTAAAGTTACCTGTTTCTCAGCGTGTTGACGCAGGCAAACAAAATAGTCTGTGTTCTTGTTTTGTGTGGAGATGGCGTTTAAGCTTGCTTGGGGCCGCTGCACTGTTTGAGAGCTTTTCTCCACACACCAAACATAATGGACTCGGTGCAGTCGGATCTCCAGTGAAAGTAAATCAGAACAAAAGATAACTTTTGCTGTATTGCCCCGAGCTCACCGTTTTTTGCTTAGATTAGAATTAGAATTTTGTCCACAGCCGAGTTTGGAGTCCAAAGTGCTTCTTTTCAAATATTTATCCATCTTTGTTGTACTTCTTGCAGCTGCCACATACTGCACGCATCACTCATTCTATTGTTTTAACTTAACAAGGTGATATTGCGCTACCCACTGCCACCCACTGACATGAAAGACTAATTACTCTACCAGTCACTTTATTGAAACCACAGATACCCAACAATGATTTTACTATTTGCAGTAATTACTAAATTGTAATTTTTGGACTAATTGATTGAAATTAAATAATTTCCCAGGGCACATCTGACGTTCGCATAGTAGTTTGGAAACACTGGTCTAACGCAACACTTGTAAAGGAGATGAATGCTTCAGTTTGTCACAGATCAAAGTGAATTGAATGTGACTGGTTGAAGAGGTTTTTAGGGGGAAGTGCGGGTGGACTCAGAGAGCAGAACACATGGAGGCACAGAGTTGTGGTGAAGGAAATTTATTTACAGTGAATGGTGAATATTCAGGGGCAGAGTATTAAAAACAGAATGAAGATGGGAACGCGGAGACGGGAAGTGCAGGTGAAGAACACACACAGGTAGCGCACTCGATCTAAGGGGAGAGGAACACGAGCTATAGGAGGGTCTTGCCTGAAAACTGAGAAAAAGCATTAACGAGACTTTACTGGGAGTTGGAGAATTTAATTGGTACTGTTTGCCAAAAACCCACGGAAGGAAAACAAACCAGTTGAAGCAACTGGGAGGAACAGAGGCGAAATCCTGGGAAGGAAACAAAACTTGGGTGTGCACACCTGAGTCGTGCCAGGTGTGCCAGGTTCAGTGAATCACTGCCCCGCCTACCAATGCCAAAAGAAGACACAAAATACACACAGGCAAAACACCATACAACCATAACCCGGCTCCTAAAACAGGTATTTGTGATCTGTGTTATCTACATTTCCATCAGTGTAAGAGACTCAGCAGCAGATTAGAATAACATTTATACATTTAATAAATCACCAAATTCCAGACCATCCTTCCAGACCATCTCCAAGCTTTCCCAGATGAATGTGCCTGATCACATCTGCCGGTGGATCACTGACTTCCTGACGGACAGGAAGCAGCATGTGAGGCTGGGAAAGAATGTCTCGGACTCCCGGACCATCAGCACCGGCTCCCCTCAGCGCTGTGTTCTTTCTCCTCTGCTCTCCTCCCTGTACACTAACTGCTGCACCTCCACCTACCAGTCTGTCAAGCTAATCAAGTTTGCACATGACACCAGTGTTATTGGACTCATCTCGAACGGGGATGAGTCTGCCTACAGGGGGGTGGTTGAATGTCGGGTGTCTGGTGTCCTGGTGCAGCCACAACAACCAATCCACATGCCAGTTGTTGGTGTGCAGAAAAATGGGATATTTTCAAATCACAGGCCACAACCAACCATTGCTGCCTGTGATTTGAAATGCATTCTGGGATTACTGGCTGCCCCAAGTCCACATCAGCAATCGATTATCTAGGATCGACCTGTCTTGACTTACTTTGCACGGCAACCAATAATGTGCAATGAATTAAATGTGTCAATGATTATTTAAAATGTGAAATAATTAATTAATTAATTAAATTTATTAATTGCGTCAATAATTAAAGGAGTCATAAATATTTATTTAATTAATTATTAGTGTGGACTCATGAAGCAGTCTAGTGACAAAAGTTACAAATAGTTGTTTGAAATAAAAGTTGTTTGTTTAAAACAAAAATTACTGAAGGATTCATTGTGAATGAGTTTATGATCTAAATAAAGTTGCAGCTAGGCTTTTCTGTCATTGTTTTGTTTAAGCGGGGTGTGAAAATATTTCCTCCTGCCATGTGGGGAATTATGTAAAAAGTTGGAGAACCTCTGCAGTAGATGAGTTAGATCAAAATAAAATTCCGTTGATTTTATCATTATATGATTCCCACTATTTGATTGAGCTTTTGTTTTTCTGTTGCTAAAAACATCCTGCACTCAAATGTTTAAATTGTGAACATTCCCCTTTTAGTTAATGTTAAAACAGTAAAGATTATACAAAAGTATTTGTCATGAATCGCTGTGTGGCAGGCAAGCAGGAGTGGTGGACCCAAAATGCAGAACTCAGACACGGAAGTGAAACTTAAATCAGAATCAGAATCAGAA